CCATAAATACATACAGTTTTGTTTTTAGTGTTTTTTAAATATATCAGTTACATTTTTAAAACTCAGATAAAAAAAATTTTTTTTAAATGAGGAAGAGAGCTGAGTAGACTTTCCTTGAGAAAGACTACCAGGTGCAGTGTTGCAAACCTGTGGGCCCAGCGGTGAGGCTGAGGCAGGAGGGTGGGGAGTTTGAGGATGGCTGGAATACATGGTGAGACCCCGAGTCAAGGGAGGGGAGGCGGAGAAGGTCCTGGCTGCCATCCCTGGTCATCAGAGAAATGCAAATCAAAACCAAGGCCACGCTCCATCTCACCCCAACTAGAGCAGCCGCTGCAGAAGGAAGGGATGCTGAGAAGCATCCGTGAGGGTTAGGAATGAAGGGACCCCTCGAACACTTTGGACAGAGTGTCAGTCAGTGCCGCCCTAGGAAAGCAGGAGCGTTCTTACAGGATTGAACATCGAAGCGCCCCTTGACCCAGCGACCCCACTGTAGGTGCACATGTCCCAAAGAAAGGAGCAAGCTGAAGAGACGTTGTTCTAGCACTGTTCACAGCCGCCAAGAGAAGGGACCCACGCATGCCCGTCCACAGAGGAATAAAGAGAATGCGGTGTAGCTGATAAGGGAATGCATGTACCATGAAGGGGTGTGTGAACGTGGAGGACACAGCGTTAAGTGAACTGAGCACAGACAAGCACTGCATGGTCTGAGGAATCTGAAACACTCGCTCCTCCCAAGATCTCAGTGACGGCGGCGGCGGGAAGGACGGGGTGTGGGCGGCGCGGCCAGTGGTGCTGTGTCCGGGGAGGTGCTGGCTTCGCCTGCACACCAGCAGTCACACCGTGTATTTTCAAGCAGTTCGGTTTTGGATGTTCTCAGAGGTGACCCATGTTTAAGGTGATAGATTTGCAGCGCTGATCGGATCACTGCCCGGTGTACACAGGTAGCAGCAGCACAGGGTAGCCCACAAATCCGCGTGGACCGAACAGCCACTAACCCAGGGTACCAGAGGGGTCCGCTCGAGCGTGGCCTTCCATTCCCCGCCCTCCTCCCCGCCACTGCAGCCTGGAGGGTGCGGTCTGCCCTGGCCCGGGGGTGTGGCCCACATCCTGGGGTCCTCGGCGCCTTCAGGACCTCAGAGCCCAGGCTCTGGGGTGCACGGGGCCAAAACACTGCCAGGCTTCGGCAGCACGCGCTGCCACAAGCCAGGTGGGCCCTCCATGGGACAAGACGTGTCTCCAGCAGCTTCCTTTGCTGTCGCTTGTCCCCGACCCCCCGGCTAGGCTGCACCCTCTTCCCTGCTCACTCGCCTTATAGGCACTCAGCACCACAGCCCCCTGCGGGCCCCGCTCTCAGCCCAGACCTGGCCCCTCACAGGTGCTGGGCCCCAGCTGCCGGCCACGTGTCATTTGGGTGGGGACTGAGAACCAGGGGGTACATGGACCTGCTGCAGGATCAGAACCGCATGGCGGGTGTGGATGGGTTGCATTCGGGGTGATTCTTACACTGTCAGAATTGAGACGCTGCTCAGGGAGTCATCTGGGACTTGCCAACGGAACTGACTGGGCCCTGCTGCGGCAGTGACTGCATTTCCGCAGAAACACCGCACCCCGGACTCCCTGAGCCCCACTCGGGTTCGTCAACCTGGCCCGGGCCCCCTGCAAGTCTAAGTATTTCCTCTGTGCCCGAACCCGTGTGCAAACCGGCTGGCCGCCGTGTAGGACCGTAAGCTCGGCTTCTGGACCAGGGTAATGTGAGGACATTGTTTTTCCATCGCAGGCGACCTTGACCCTTGCAGAAGTTGTGAGATTATCCCTTGAATACCAGCTGGGTCTCGCCTGGAGGCCGGTGGCAGACACTGATCGCTCCCCAAGGGCTCTGCAGCCCGCGTCTGGGGAAGGCGACCCACCTGGAGGGTCCTGGCCTTGGCTTTTCCTCCTCGTGCCGCATGCCAGTCCTGCTGCACCGTTCTGGGGCTGGTGCAGCCGGCCGCCTCTTCTACGGTCACGGGCACCTCTGAACAGTTTCTGTCCCCCACAGGGACCACTGCAGGACCTGCCTCTCCCCAGCCTCCGACGTGAGCCCAGCGCCCACGGTGCCCTGCCACCAGCCCCGCCCCTCCTGCCCCTCAGGCCCCTCTGAGTGTCCCCTCTGAAGCCCCCTGCCCTGCCTGTTGCCCCCACTGCTGGGCTGAGACCTCCCCGGGAGCTAACCAGAGAAGCCAGGTCCTGCCAGTGGGTTCCATGCAGAAGTGATGCCGCATGACAAGGGGCACCTATCTGATTCCCATGTGACACCTGCTTGGTGTGACGCAGAGGTGCAGGGTGGATAAGGTGTCAGTTTCAGCACCTGAACTCTGGGTGGCTTGGGGCACTGGGTGTGGGGCCCAGGCGAGGGTGCTGGGCAGAGAAGGTTGGCTCGGGGCCTGCTCCCATGGTCCTCACTGTCGCGTAGAAGATGACAGAGAGGTGGTGGCTGGGTTCAGGGAAGAAGCAACGACAAGGGAAGGGAGCCTGTGTTCAAGGCGACAGGGAGTTTCCTTTCCACCAAACTGAGCACTGACCGTGCCGCCGGGGGAGGGGCGGACAAGGCCACAGGTGCCGGAGAGGAGCCGGAGGGACCGTGTGCCCTGAGAAGGTGGCACTGCACAGCGGGTCACTGTGGCCCGGGGCCGCTCCTGCTGTGCGCACGAGGTGGGGTCAGCAGACCATGGAGCCCATGGTGGGCCTGACAGTGCCCAGGGGGCCTGGGGTGAGGGGGCTGCAGGGACAGGGACACCAACACGGGCACAGGAAGTATTTCTACAACGAAGGCCACTGCAGGGTTTGCACCAGTGTGACCTCCAGGCTGTGTCCACACGCGAGGTTTGCACACACCTGCGCACACGCCGTGTTCAGGCACAACAGCGGCTTCGGCCTTCGGCGCTCTGATGCCCTCCTGGGGGACAGCCGGGCCCCCCAGCCTAGCGGGCGGCCACACCCTCACAGCCCGAGCTCGAAGGACAGAGGCTCACGTCCTCCAGGGAGTTCAGGCCCCCCCAAGTTTGCCAGAAGCTGCTCTTTGTTGAGCCCCAGCCACCTGCAAGGAGCAGCAGCCCCGCCCAACCCCGCCAGGGCACCGGCGCCATTGCCCTCGCTTTTCCAGCCCTGGCGGGGAGTGCGCTGGCCTCGGGGACAGCAGTGCTGGGAGAGCCTGGCAGGGTCCTGGCTGCCTCACGGCGGGCACAGCCTTTGAGCAGGCCGGGAGCTGCCCTGGGCCCTGGTTCCCTGGGCCTCGGCGGCCCTGGCCCAGTGCCCTGTCCTTCCTGTCCACCCGACTGAGGCACCTGGGCAGACCCACAGCCCGGGGCAGGGCTGGGAGGGGCCAGCTGGGCCGAGGGAATGGAGCTGGCGGCAGCAGGGCGTCACCCTCACTGCCGGGCTGACCGGGGACCACACAGCCCCCGTCACCAGTGCCCCACCAGGCCCGGCTGCGGCTGTGTGCACCGAGTGAGGGTGGCCGCCCGGTGCCTGGGACAGCCCCTGCGGAAGCCCTGGCCTCTGCCCAGCGCGAGGTGCCATGGGACAGCCGCCGCCTCCTTCCCTGCGAGGCTATAAATACTCTCAGATGCAAACGGCCGCGCTGCCAGACATTTACCGTAAAGTACAGGTGGAGGACTGGAGTCTTCAGGCCTCTGGAAGGATATTTTAGTTGTTTTTAAAAAAGAGAGAAATGGGGTTTGGGGATTTAGCTCAGCGGCACAGCACCTGTCTGGCAAGCGCGAGGTCGTGAGTTCGATTCCAAGTACCCGAAAAAACCAAAAAACCTGAAAAAAAAAAAAAAGAGAAATGAACCTGATCTGGCTGGAGGGCTGTGGTGGATGCGGCCAGGAGGACTCACTGCCCAGCAAATGATGGCAGCCCCAGGTCAAGCACTCAGAGCCCCTGAGCAGGGCGCCCTCACCTCCCCACTGCCAAGCTGGCCCGTGCTATGGCAATAAAGTGAGGAAGCAGAAAAGCCCACAGAGACCTTCAGATAGCTGCGTGTCACAGGGCGCAGCCCAGAGCCGGCACTGGCTGCCCCTCCTCCGCGCCAGGGAAGCAGGGCCCACCCTGTGATGCCCCGCCGGGTCGGCCGCCAGACCCGCCACCGCCAGGGCGTGCGTGCTCTGTGCAGGGCGAGGCCTCTGAGCTCCCAGCCCGGTAAACGCCCCCGGGGCACATGCGGAGCTGCAGCACATGCCAGGGGCCCTGCAGGCCACACAAGCCTCTCCTTCCAAAACTCCTGAGCAAACACCGGGCGCCAGGAAGACTTCTAATCTAATATAATAATAATAAAGCCCACCGTGGTACAGAGCCATGAACAGCACTTTCAATTCCTAGGGCCACTAATGAGCTCTGAGCTCCTGCTGGGGCTGCCGTCAGGATAAACACGCGGGATCGATGGCTGCAGCCACAAACATAAATGGCGCGCGGCCCACGCCTGCCACGCCACATCGTGGCGTCCACTGCCTGCCACCGCACGGCCCAGGCCCCCGGCCACCGCACGGGAGGCAGGGTAACAGCAAGGGGAAGCGACCCCTAATGAGGAGAACCTCCCGGAAGGAGGCAAATTTAATTTTCTTTTCATCTCTGACACCTTTCTTCCCTGTCCAAAGGGAGGCCCCTAATTGAAGTCTGCAGTAGGATGTTCCATCTCTTTATTGCCCGGCGGCCTCCGCGCCCGACAGAGGAACACACCGCTTTTATTGTAGAGCACACCCTCCTTTCTCCCCGGGCTCTAGAAAGGCTAAGTGATTACAATTCTGTTATCTTCTAAATTAAAGAGCAGGTGAGGCCGACTGGGTCAGAGTCGTGTGCACAGCAGTTTGACAACTGGGGCGACGGCGTAACTACTAAGCAATTTTTTCCACAATTCAAAACCCTTTTTTGCCTGGCCAAAGAGTCAGTCTAACAAACACATCCCACTCTTGCTGAAAATAATTTCTTTTCCCAACTCTTCTAGAAATAAAACACTTTTAATGTTATTTGTCAGGAATCGACACTTCATTTAATAAGATTTAAAAAGTGACAATTTAAAGAGCAATTGAGAAGAGTCCCACATCCATCACAGGCTCGTTCTAACTAAAATCAGAACAGAAAAAGCACTGAGCAAACAGGAGACACGGAGCGTGTGTGGGAGATGCCCGCGGCTGCCCCAGGCCCAGGAGCCTGCCATCCAGGGGCTGCACGGGGACTTCGAAGGCTTCTTCCCGCTGTGCCCCCAAATGCAGTCACAGATGAAGGGCGGTTTCCGGCATGATGACCTTGCCTTGGGGGCATGTCATTTCCTAGTTCAGAATGGGGAAGCACATTGTGGTCCCACCCCTAGACCTGTTGGGGAGCCAGAGCCTCATCTGCTCTGCCCCCGAGAAGCTTGACGGCTCCTTCCCTGCACCCCACGCACCGCTGGCCACACTGCAGCTCGGGGCCCAGCACGGCCCGCTCGCGTGGCATCAATTCTGGCCGTCGTCCCGCTGGCGCAGAGGAGAATGCAGCCTCCCGCCGGGCTCTGGGGAACAGGAGGCTGCTGGGACTCCTTCGATGCTCGCTGATCATCCCTGTCCCCTGGACGCGTGGCCCCTGCCCTAGCACACCTGTGCTGTGGCCTCCGGGCCGGGGGTGCGCGGGGGAAGGACCACCTGCTCGGAGAGAACCATGGAGGCAGAGCTCTAGGCTGTGTGCTCCTGGGGCCTGGGTGGGCGTCCACGGCCCGCGGGGCCACGGAAGCAGCCAAGCCAGGCGCAGGGACACGAGACCCACCCTTGGGGTGCTGCTAGCACAGCCCCATCGTCCCTTCGGTTCTTTCGATGACAAGGATGGGGATGGGGACGGGGACGGGGACAGGTAGAGCCCCCTGAAGGTGCCTATGCCAAGAGACCCCATGAGCTGGGGGCCACACCTGTGGGCCAGGGGTGCTTCCGGGTGTGATGTGGGGCCACCAAACGACACGAAGTTGCCAGCGTCCCCACGGCCAGGGCCCTGGCCTCTGACTCCCTGAGGTGTGGCCGGGCCATGAGTACCCGGCCCTCTGTGGGCCTGAGCTGGCCGCGACCCCGCCGGGGAGGAAGTGCCGAGCGGGCAGCGGCGCCCTGCTCACTGGCGACGGAGCTGGCTGCTACAGCGGCAGCGGCCCGCAGCCTTCGTAGGGACGCTCCCCGCATCCACACCCGGGGCGCCGGCGCGCGAGGCCCCGGTCCCGGAGGACTGCTGACCGGGCGCTCGCCCCGCAGGACCTTCGCTCCCCCGGGTGACCTCTGCTCCTGCGGCCACACTGCCACGCCCGCCTCTCCCCCGGGGGACCCAGTCCGCCTAAACGAGGGCCGCCAGCGGGCCGCCAAGCGAGACGCCGTTCCGACGGGGCAGGGCCCGCGCGCCCTGGCCGCTCCCCCAGCAGCTCCGGGACACCCTGGGGCCGCG